CCTTTAGAATCATTTTGTGTTACAGATACTTTATTATCTTCATCGAATAATTTAAATATACCATTTAATAAAGGATAATATTCAAGTAATTTTCTTAAACTTAAAATTAATCGTTCAATATTCATGAACATATCTTTTGAGTGTTTTTCATCTAATAACCATTGTTGAATATTATAAAAATAGATACAATTAATACTATGAATTGAAGATATGATCCAGTCATTTGGAGATAATTTTAATGATTGAAATGATTCATTTTTTATAATAGTTGATGACAAGATTGTTTCTAAACAAAAATAACAATTCGTTTCTTTTAAATAATCATCAGAATTTTTTATTTTTACTTACGAATAATATTTTGATTCATGTTACTTATGTTTCTAATATAAGTAAAAGATAGTTTCGGTGTTACGTTTTATTATATTCGAGATTGTAATTACGCAATACGTTCTATTCTTTTTTCTCTTTATCATGTAATTTTGAAATTACGCAGAAAAACACTTTATTTCTTTTACTATTCTTATAGACTATCGCACACACAAACACATGAGACCATTAATACTGAAAGCATCATACTACAACAGAGAACAGAAAAATAAAGAAAGAAAAATAGTAGATAGAATGTAATATATATACAATTATCTCTACATTAGAGATTGAAATAGAAAAGTTTTAATTCAGAGAAACTGCATTGTCTTTCTACAGAATATTCTCAATGTTAAAAAAAAAACAAAAACAAAAGTTAACAGTTGTCTAATAATTAAAATGATTTACATGAATTTGCTAGAGTTTTATTTCATATAAGTTTATGTGTAATCAACAATTTTCAAAAAATTATCGACTTCAGCTAAAATATTTAAGATTGATTAGTATGAAAGTAATTTCATTTGAAAAGAAATGTTTTCTTTATTATTTCTGTCCATCAACACTTGTAATAAAGTTCTTGCATACTTCATCTTGATCTATGAAGGTGTATTATCTGTATTATTGAGAAAATTCTATCTTAAATCGTTTTAATAAATATTATTCATATTCATAAATATCATTAATCTTGTTTTTATGGTGATTATTTTAGATCTTTTATAATCGTAGCTAAATTTCTATCGTAACACTTTCACCAAAAATTTTGAAATCTAGTCGAAATATAATATAAGTCATTTGAGCTGTTTTATTTTCATATAGCTTGCATCGTAGTTTTGGTTTTTGCAGTTATAAGGAACTCAAACTTAATCATTAACAGAATTGCTATGATTGTAACGTTGATCGATATCAACATTTATTGGATATATATCGAATAAAATTTCAAAGAGTAGACAATCACATTATTAAAACAGCATGCAAAATTGTCGCACTGCTAAAACAAAACCATTTACATTTGCTTTTTGTTCAGACTTTTAGAACGACTTGCATTATTCTAGTTTATAATTACTTCAAGACCAATAATTGATATACTGTCCAATAGTCCCATCGTTCATCAAAACAAAAAGGAGAAAAACATAAAAAATGTTGAATATATCAATATTCGATTGCCATTTTCTTGTTTACGAGTAAACAACAATTTAAAATAAGAATTTACTTTTCAAACATTTATACTTCTCATTTTTTTGATTTTTTGTAATTGAAGGAGTATATGTTTATCTTGGCTTTGTTGCCAATGAAAACAAAAAGCGTTCTTATAATCAATACTTTGTATGACGGATCCGCTTTTATGTCTGAAATACGCAAGTTGTATTAATCGTAGTCCATCAGACACACTCTTGCTATCAACTGTCCATCTGATTTCGAGTAATCGATATTTACTGACTGCACTTCTGATGTTGGTTCTGTTCTTGTTATAGGATTATCTTTTAATCCATTCGATCATTTGTCAATAGAAGTCATACCTACGAGTCATTGGTTCAAAATGTTTCATAATTTCAAGATGTTCAAAGTTTGATATATTTAGTAGATAACGTAATAGTTAAAGTATATTGATTAAAATGAAAAAAGACAAAGGAAACACGAAATAAACTATATCGAATTTAGTTCTGTGTAAGTCTTTATAATTTCGAAAGACTTCAAATTCACATCCGCTATCAAATAATTTATTGTTAACAAAAGAATATCTTTGTGAAAAGCATTTTATTAATATAATCATCATTGAAATGTCTCTAAAAGCATAAATACTTTTGATGACATTTTCGTTCATGCATAGTACCTTTCTCTAAGTTCTAAGCGGTATATATCATATATGATAGACAATAGTTTCATTCGCATTATCTATCGAATAATTATATTTTAGTCACGCCATGTGCATTATAAAAGATACATATTTCCGATTAAATTCGTGTCAAATAAAATAAGATATCTTACAACTTAAACTTGTCGTACACGTAAACAGTGTTTTTCGAAACGTGCGAAAGGATCATTTCTTTTTATTGATTTCGAAAGTGATACTTCGAAATAGCATCTGTCAACATTATTCTTAAAAATATGAATTAGGAACAGTCCACCATCAACTTTACAAAAAAATCAGCTCATTTGGTCAAAGCATTGTTGAGATATTCAAATTTTTCTTTGGCTAATGAATTTCTGAACATCCTATATATTGCAATAGAACTCTTTTACAGTTTCATAATGAACAATATTTTAACTAAAAAACATGCATTTTTATGATTTGAAAAAAAAAAATAACGAACATCATCATTTGAAAAATTCTACTACGATTAATCAGCAAACTATTTGTATTATATTTTTTTATTAAGAAGAACTGCTCGTTTATAAAATATAATCTAAAAGGTTTGTTGAAGCTTATGAGAAGATGTGTACACCGCTTCCTACACACGTGATCGACACCTTAACAATAACTCATCATAGACTGTGACAGATACTTTAATATTGCTGCTCCTCTCTTATGGACCATAACATAAATACTCGTGAGAATCAAGTTTATTGTGAGATTAATATGAAATCTACAGTCCTTTGGTCTCAAATTCAGACTGAAATTTTGATTTTTTTCAGTTTTGGTATTTTTTAGTCGTTTTTATTTTTCATATGTAATAAAAGGTATTTATTACATATTGTGATTATGGTCGTATAGATGGGGGTGACACGCTACAATGAACACTATTTAGAATAGCGATAGCTATTGAGAAATAGAAATAATGACTCATCTCATACATAGATAAGACCTATAGTATTTTGATTTTTTTATACCAGTCTTACGTGTTTCTGACCTTTCTATTGATTATATATTTACTTATACACGGCAGCTATCATTTGCCAATAGCGATTTAACCTCTTGAATACCGCTTGTCTTCAATTGAAGACATGTAGAACGAAAGAATTTCTTTTTCGTTCTTTCGTGTCAATAAACAGCTGTGAAACGACATGTTCACTGGCATAGCTATATCGATCCATGTTATATATACGACAAAATATGCATGAATACAGCTGATACAAGACGATCGGACGCAAGAGATAGTGATTTTTTTATTTTTATCTCTATTACACGGTATGGTGGAAAAAGGCAGAAAGGAAAAATGTCGAATGGTGAAATGTCGAAGGAAAAAAATAGAAAGGAAAAATACAGAAAAGAAAAAAGCAGAAAAGAAAAGGAGCGAAGAGAAAAAGAACGAAAAAGAAAATGTCGAAAGAAAAATATCGAATACAAATAATCTCGAAGAGCAAAATGTCGAAANAGAGCAACAAAAATGCACAGGCTCTTGAATATATTTGCATTCAGTGTTAATGTCCTCACAGACTTGGATAAAACTCATAAAAACATGTAGAAATGGATCTGAAGAAATATTGATTATCACAGTCTTGTCAAGGAGTTCAGGGACTCTAAGAAGTTGTGATTGTTTTTCTAGAGCTAATTTTAAGACCTTGTTCATAAATTTTTTTCTTACTTTAATTTCATACTCCGACATACGACGAAAAACTGCATCAATCAATATACGTCTCTTATGGGTTGGCGTTTTTTATACTATGTAGAATATCAGACCAGAGTATCCTCAAAAGCGTGATTTTTCTTCGGTTTTTTTTTAGTATTTGAATTTATAACTATTCGAAATTGGCCTTTGAATTTCTTTTTCCACATGATTCTTGTTATAATTGCAATTTCATATGCAACTTGTCTATATTAGACGTCCTAGTAACGCTGCTAGATCACTTTTGGACGATAACTATAAATGACTCCCTATTAGAATCCTATAGTAAAACAGGTTTCTCGATCAAAATTCCATCGTGCGCAAATTTCAAATCCCCTATTCTAAATTAACAGTAAAATGCTGCATCAAATGATATGTTTTTTTCGATGGAATAAATAAAAAATTTCTCTCAGAATTTCACATGCTGATTTTGAATACATCATTAGTCTTGAAAAATATCGTCGGAGAAAATAACCTAGCTAGGGGTGTCATTTTTCTATTAATTTAAAAGGAAATTTTAATTATCGATAATGTGATAAATTAAAAATTTGAACTATTTGCACTTCGTAATTAAAAATAGAAGATATATTCTATATGAAGTTCTCAAAAGAAGTAAAATAATTGATAATTTAAATGTTAAATACGAATGAAAATAGTTTAAATTTATTCTAAATTTCTGATGATTGAATTTATCCATAAATTAAATTGAAAGTAAATATAAATTGGTACTACAGGCCTAACTGATACTTTTCCTGTGTGTGAAGAGATTTGATTTTCTTCAAGAATTTTCAAATCTCGAATAAAGGCTAGAGGGACTTGTTCATGTTTGACCGATCAATTTTGTTTATCTATTGAAGATGAATTTTTATTTCTTTGAACAAGAATTGATATTTTGAGAATAGCACTACTACGAAAAGTTGAAACAAACAGACGGCGACAACACCTTGTTTCATCGAATATTTCATGCGATTTCCAATGCAAATCTTCAGAATATTACTAATAGTAGTTATTTTTATCGTGATTCTTACGATTTGTCTTCGTCGTCGCTCACCGAAAATTTTTATCACCGAATCAGATATTAATCAATTGATGCAGAAAAACTTGACGAATAGTAACTCCCAACATCGGATTCCTCGTATTATACATCAAACATGGAAAAATACGAATATACCAGCACGATGGAACCTCAGTGTTAAAAGTGTACGCGAATTAAATGCTGATAAATTTGAGTATCGTCTGTGGACAGATGAAGATATGTATGAATTTGTTCGGGAAAAGGAACCATATTTGTACATAAACACTTTTCTTACTTATTCATATGATATTCAACGAGTCGATGCGTTTCGTTATGTCTTGTTATATTATTTCGGTGGTGTCTACGTTGACATGGACGCTGGCTGTTCGAGACCGTTGGATATTTTGTTAGATACATTGGAAGCGCTTGATCCACAAGCCCAACATCTTGCTGCTTTTCCGGCAACCAAACCTAGTGGACTTTCAAATGATTTTATGATTTCGACGAAGGGTCATCCATTGTTCAGTCAACTTATTTCACGTCTTTCTCTTTTCAATCATAACTTTATAGTGTATTATCTTACTGTCATGCTCAGTGCAGGTCCTCTCTATGTGACTTTCAATGAACATCTTTTCGGTAGATCATCAGAAACAGTATCAGTGCGCATCATTGAAGACAAAGCCTACTCTCCTCTATTACTTTGGTTTGCAGGAGGCGATTCTTGGCATGGACGAGATGCTCGAATAATTAAAAGTATTTACAATTTTTGGAGTACTCTTCATCCTGTCGGTTTATTAATATTTTGCTTGTTACCCATGTTCCTCATTATCTTTTTATATTGTTACTATCGCCGACCCTCTAGCGCTAAAATAATGACTTGTAGGTCCCTATTTGACAGAGCTCATTTGTACCATTCTATGTGAAATAGTAAGCTAATAAAAAAATTCTAGAACTACTATGATGATCTTGATTGTGGGTGTGGGATGTGACTGTCGCTCTGTAGGTGTAGGTCAGTAGTGGGTGTGACACATAGGTCTAGCCATGACTGCGATTATTGGTAGGTGTAGGTATCAATATCTTTTGCTCACATCACACGTATACCTACAGTTCAGAGATGGATCGAATAGACGATTGCGGTAGTTTGTCATTAGACGAATCTACAGGTATATCTGTCAAATATCAACTATGTGATGTGTGTTAGAATAGTGTAACTAGTTGGATAGAATTCCAAATGATATTTTTCATAAACAAATGTTCGATCGATTTAGACACAATTTTCAGTATGGGAAACAAATCATTCTGTCAATCATCGAAGTCTAGTTAACAATGGATGAGTACGGTTAGAATCCCGCTATTATTGAAAATATTAAGAAATTGTTTATCTTCAAATAATAAGAGACATTCAATAAAATCTTAATAAATTTCATGCTAATGCTATCAGCATTGTAACAGTACTTTAGCTATTGTTTGGTTCGAACAAATATGATACCATGAAAATTATCGTAAATAAATTAGTCAGCAAAAAATAAACTCATTTTTGAGAGATGACATCATGCTTAGACAGTAGTCGGAGATCGCACACTTACGTTTAAAAATGGATGATGAAAAGAGTGTTGAAGCGAGAATTTCGATTGTAAAAGACATGAAGTAAATGAACATAGTTAAAAAATTGAAGACGTCCGTTCCTGCATCTTTCGATTATATCACCTAGTATATGTGGTAAAAATATGAGATTTAACTGGATATGTACAAAGAGAAAATCGAAAAAAATTGTTTGTCCTGTTACTTTTGACTCATCCTGTATATTATATAAAACAAAGGGAATAGCAATTTCTTTTTCTTTGCCTATTCGAATCGGTCACGATCTAAACAGTAATAAATCTTTTTCAGTTCATATAGGCCACTTATCATTATGTTTTTACACTTCCTTTCTATTCATGTCAAGAAATTTTACATGGTCACAACAGAGTTTTTGTAATTAGTTTTTGTGAAGCTAACTTGGTCGGTTTTTGCAGCCATGTAAAGAATATTTGGATTTTCTTATTACGACAGGTGTTGAAAGTATCACGACGAACCTTCGTTACATTTTCTTTTCTATGTGGTCTCTTATCGATATTTTTAGTGATTTTTTGACCAATTATTGATCTTGTCTATTATGTATCTTGCTGCTTTCATATGTGAACATGACTTTTTCGAACATAATGTACATATAACAGGAGAGAATGTAAAACTCGGCACATATTTTGCAAACGACTCAATATCATAAGAATGAAAACAACGTAAGTATATCTCTATTTTCAATTTGTCGGTATATATGAAACTCAATATCGATATCCTAATGCTCTGACGATAGCACATTCTCTCACTAATAATCTACATGATCCTTACTACTCTTGACTTCTTCAACACTAACAAAAAACATTACATATCATCGAGTTTCATTTTAATCCTTCTTCACAATACTAAAATATCGTTTTCGACGTTATTTCACTTCATGTAATGCGGAACTTTTAAGTTAAACATTTCAAAAATTAGATCCTCTTAAAAAGAATATGGTAATACATCAAAGCATAATAACTATTTGAACTTCACTGAATCATAGGAAAGAAAAATATTAAAATTTTTCTTTTTGTTTTTCTGATACGTATCTGTAATCTTTATGGGATGAAATCTATGATTCGAAAATTCTAAAAAGATGCATAGAAGAAATCGTACAGATAAACCATCATTAAACATCGGCTAACATTTTGTTGAAAGGCAAAAGGAAAATTTTTATTGAATACGAGACATAAACTATGATGCACATATTTCCAGTGATATGTTACTTAGTACAATTCAAAAGTAGTGGCGAAAGCAAGTTACAAAAGAAAAACCATGCTCAACTATCTAATAGACAAATGTTCCATACACTATGGATTGAATACTGAAAAAAATATTTGAAAGATACGTTTTTTTTACGTTATCACTGTAAATACTGTCTAATTTATTTCATAGTATCTGATAACAAAGACAAACAAAGTTATTTTTAGTATGTTTTAATTGAATATATAATCAGTGTTAAACATAATAAAAATTAATCATTATGTTTGTGGACCTATTATTCATGGTATTTTTTCAGGTAAATGAATACGTAATAACATTCTAGTGTTACAAAATACGACTTGTCCTTGCTTTTCTCTTCTACATACAATCATAAACAATTATTTTACGTAGATGATATTTTTCAAGAAAAATAAAGCATTCAAATTAGTCTCTAAATGAAATTATTATTTTAGAACAAAGAAAAGAATAAAACTATTATTCATTTAAAAAAAGAAAGATCGTAAATAGTTTTTGAATAATTTTTTGATAGAAATTATATATAGAGCTGCGGTTTTCACTATTAGAACAAGAGAGGAAATGATGATGATGATGCATCGAATCGTGTACTACAGATTTTGTCCTATGTTTGCAAGGAGAGTTCTATCGAATTTCTTTAAAACATTGAACTCTTGGAATAGATTTGAAAAGTAAATTTTCTTTAGCTCCTGAACAATTACAATAATAAATCTGGAGCTTACGCAGTTTTATAGAGCATCGATTGATGATTATAACGCAGCCCTGATAATCGAAAATTCATTGTGATGACTAAGCACAATACATTGGATTTTCAAAGTGCTAGATTAGAAACTCTAAAGCGCAACTAACCAAAAACATTAGTGATACAAAATTCAATACATTGACATTTCTTTTTCTAATAAAGAAAATCAGAGCTCTCTATCTTATTCCTATTCAAAGTTATTGAAGAAAATACTTATGGGTCTTCTTTTTCAAAATAGATAATAATAATAATTATTACTATTAAATGAAGAATCATTTATCTAATCAACTGGTATTTGTATCTTTAACAAAAAGTGTTCTTAATATGCTTTCAATTGAACGTGATGATGAAAGATTTGATGATACAAATGGTACAAAAATAAGTTTAGCAAATCCAAATGCTGGAAAAGCCATCTATTGCCGGTATAGGTTTACCGATTACAGATATTATTTGTTTGATTTATAATCTTTCAAAATCATGAATAAATCAACTGTAGATGTATGTCAAATGGTTTCAAATTATTTTGAAGAACTATTTCTATACTTTTCGTAATATCATTATTAATCGCCATTTTCATTATATTCTTTAATATATAAAGTTCTACCTTTTTTTTTTTTGTATATAGGATTGTTAAATTCAACAAAATATTAAAAAATTTTTCTTACTTTAAAATTCTGATAAAAATTCGATTAGGAAAAAAACATAAATCTAAATAATTGAAACATTGTATCTACAATGGTACAATAGATTTTAAAATAGTATGTGAGATTAATTTCATAATACAATCCAATATAACGTATTGTATCATGAATTTTTTTTTGTTAGATACGCTTGATTAATTTTGACACATTTACATCACATTGAAGACTCTTTTATATTCATCATTTTTTTATATACCGCTGATTACATATATACTCATCATAGATAACGTTCATGAGTTCCATTACGTAATTCAAGTATTGGACCGTTAGAGCTTGTTGTATGTTCTTGACGATACACACGCATAAAGTGTCTACATGCGTTCATCAACGTTCTTTTTCTGTTCTTCCTCATTATTCTTTACAACGGTCACGAACATGTTTTTTTTTGCCTTCTCTTCTGTTTGACCCTTATTACTCAAATAGAATGAATGACAACATACACATTCTGCAATCATTTTTTTTTCTTTCTTTAATAAAAAAAAAAAGAAAGCATATTCGCTGATGTTACATGCAACAGTTGACAGTTTTAAATGCTTATCAATCATCACATATGAACGTTTATTCATTGATAACAGCTTCTCTTTTTTGTTTTATGTGTCTAATTGAACCACAATATATTTATTCTTAGTGAGTCTTTTAATAAAATAAAATTTATAATAAATATATATGTCATAATAATGAATGATATAATTTCAAGTATTGAAATATTTCCAAATGAATTGTTAATAGCATTATTCAAATATATTTCTCCATATGATTTATACAATACTTTTTTTAATCTAAATTCTCGTTTTAATTCAATAATTGATTCTCTGCAAAATCTTTATGTTATACTTGAAGAAGATTGGGATAATAACGAACGTACTATTCCTTTCTTTTCTTCACATATATCAAGTTTAATTATCAAACATGATGAATTGATTGATTTTTCTTATTATTCAAATATTCGTTCCTTAAAATTATCTATGCCAACAGCAAATCAATGTAATGCTATTCAACCATGTCTTCTTCCTAATCTTGAACATTTGTATATATCAAATTTATTTTTTTCTGATAATTCTGAACAATTATGTCGCTTTATTTTTTCTCCTTCATTTTCTCGTTTACGAACATGTCATATTGATCGAATGACAATTAATAATGATCATCCTTATTCTTCATTATCACTTCAACAATTAACTGTTACACCTTGTACATGGAAATCAAATATGTATAAACAACTATTTAAAGCATGTCCAAATTTAATTTATTTACGAATAATACGTCTTCGAAAGACATTATTTGAATTATCTTTAAATTTTATTCGTCCACATACATCTCTTCGACATCTTCATATTCATTTTTATTCCATAGAAAATGAATGGTATAATCATATTAATTCGTTATTATCTAATGTACCAAATTTAGAGAATTTTACACTTATTATCGATCAAATTGAAATAAATATGAAATTTCCACTTGATTTATTTGCTCATTTATTAACTCAACGTGCACCATATTTGATTAATTTTAAAGCAAAAATACCATCAAATAATTTCTTATCAAAAAAATTGGATATAATCAAACGGTGGCATCCATTATTTATTAACATACAATTCCGACAATGTCAACATCAAAATTCAAAGAATTATTTAGTTATCTCCTCCGAAAGATGATTGATTTTTTAATTTTGTTGAAAGATAGATGATTAACATACACGAGAATATAGAGAAGTTATTTTTGAATGAGTATGTTATAAAATCACTAATCTTATTTACTTTGTAATTTTTTAAATAAATAAAAGTTTCATTAATCTGAAACGATAAATGAATACATTTTTAGGGCGAAACATTATTAAGTAATATGCGTTTGAACTCACTGTTAAACAGAATGTATCACAAAACAAAATACTTTGCATGAGCAGAATTAAATAGAAAAAGTAACGTATTAGTAGAAATATCGAAATTCGATAGCGATTTGTATAAGTGTCATTAGAGACAGATGTGAATAAAGAAAAAGTTTTACTCTCAATATTTGATCAACTATAGATATACAAAATTTGAATAATTGTTAGACTCACTTTTAAAACGATGTATTGATAATCAACTTTTCCTGAATTTTGCATGTAAATAAAAGGCGTTCTATAAATATTGTGTACGACTGTAAGTCTACCGACAGCAATTTCAGTACTCGTCTTTTCATATTAAATTTCAACGAAAAATCGTATTTGATCGATGTAAAAAAAAAAATATCGGTCATTGTAAATTCAATTCTAAAACTCATCACAACAATGGAATATTATTTGATTTTATAAATTTTTCAACACCAAAAATTCATTTACAATATAGAATATTTGAATTTATTTTTATTAAGATATATAAAAAAATCTTATAGGATTTTTTTTACGTCGCTTTTTTCTATTTTTATTTAAATGTTTTTTCTTTTGTTCTAATTCCATTAATCGTCGTTCACGGTCAACTGGATCAATTTTAAATACATATTTCAATATATCCATTATAATAACAAATAAAAAAACAGCAATAATAGCTACAATAGCTATTGATGCAAATGATTTACTTAATACTTGTTTTACTACTAATGATGAACTTTTGTGTTCACAATAGCTTCCCGAATAAAGTTCAGGATCAAGACAAAGACATGTCCATGATAGATGAGATGGAAAACAAATACCTTTATTTTGGCAGGTTATATTAATACACATATCACTTATTAATTCACAGTGTGATCCATCATAACCATGTTCACATATACATTTAAATGTTGTTTGATTATTAATAGACACAGTTCCATTCATTTCAACACAAACTCCATCATGCCTAAATAAGAAAGACGAGCATGCGTTTTGCCGATGGTTTTTTTTATTACAAAATGAAATATTTGTAGACTTCTTGAGAAAGAGTGTTTCTATCGAATAGTGTCATGCATTATCAATTTCTACTGTGTGCTATTAATCATATCAATAAATGGCGCCAACTTCATCGCAATCACAGTAGAGTACAATGAAATTGGCACAACTTATTGGTATGTTAATGATCCACAATAGAACTTGATACGGGATATGTAATTAGAAAGCGGAAGTCTTTGTCTGCAAGTCTACATATGTCCTGTTATATAATCAAAACTTTATAGTCGTCTTGATTCGTTCTAATTTTAATTAGATTATTATCTTACCAACATGTATTATTTTTACATATTCTATTATCATGTTCACAATTATAACCTGAATATCCCAATGGACATTTACAGATATATGGTAATGAAAGAGTTTCATTGAAACAACAAATTCCTTGATTCTCACATGGTTGCAAAATTTGACAAATATCATTTGGTATACTACAATTATTACCAATATAATTTTTATTTTCACATTCGAATGGTCCTGGTGGAGATCTGGTTGTTGATTTTGTTGTTGTTTTTATTCCTTCAGTAGTCAACAGTATTGATTGAAATGTAGTTACTGAACATGTTGCTTCATCGAAAGTGAGTGTTTTATTTTGTAGACAAGACATATCAGTAAAATTTAGATAATTTTCATTTGATACACAGTTGAATAGTGATACATTTATTGTCCTATTTTTTCCACATTTGTTTATATGAAAAATTTCCCATTTAATAGTTATATTTTCCGAATATATGTCAATTATTGTTTCTGTTATGCTTGATTCATTTATGTTTGATTCACTGGAAATAATTGTCATCACTAAATAATATCAATAGATAGAGATTTTTTTTATTTGTAAAAAAGAATCAACTTACAATAACAGATAAGAACGAGTGATACTAATCGAACAATCATTTCTAATATGAATCAGTTCAATGTGAACATCAGTCTATTTTATTTTTTGGAATATTAATTTATCATAAATAATTTATTGTATTATTAATATTTGCACATTAAACAATCAATGTATTAATGAGAAAAAATGTAGTTTTAATAGAAGCACGTATAGAAGATAATGATTGTTGTCATTATATAATCGATTTATATGTAATGAGTATTCAAATAAAGTCAAATAATAGTTGGAATATGTTCTTCGGAAAATACTGATATGAACTGATGTGAGAAGATTTTTAGAGGTTTAGATTTCATCTTCATTACATTTAGAATAAATATATATAAACAGTTCTTAGATTTGGATTGAAGAATATGGAGATCTCTATCGATAACTCTTCTTTTTCGCTATCTAACACCCAAATTTCCTAAACTTAAATAGAGTATCTGTGATTATAGACAAAGTCTATAACAAAGAAAAAAAATAGTTCAACATGAGCTTGTTTCAATGGGATCATCAAATATGTATAAGCAAAAGTCAATGTAAAAATGAATTTCTTTATAAGAATGAACATTATAGAAAAAAACTAAACTATCTAATTAGTAATAAAATGAATATATTTTGTTTACAAAAATTTTTAATTTTCTGTTATACATAGTATAATCTATAATTTGTTTGAAGTATTCAAAGGTATAAATCAATGTGTAGAAACATGTGGTAATTGTAGAATGTGATTGATCAAAATATTTTAACTGAAAATAATCAATCATTTGTTTACGATATGTAACAAAGTGTTTGTTTATCACAAAGAAAATTTTTTGGAAAATCACAAATCTACGTTATATTCAGTTGATTGTGAAGCTTCAACATGATCAACTTTCAAGTACGAAAAACAAAAAAATCCGTTTTCTTTGTTGGTACTTTCTATTCTAAGACAATCCTAACAAATAATTTCATAGCATTTGTAAAACTCTATCGTTTAGTCATAACTAAAATTTTTCTTTTGACTCGCCTATAATATTTGATTGCAAGTAACTCTATTCCATACGACGAAAAAAAGAACATACTAATTATATAAAAAATTGCATTGCTGATTTCTTTTTTGGTTTCAAAAGTTGAACATATGTAAGTTTGACAATAGATTTTTCTTGAATATTTTATGTTAATATTTGAAACTAAATTGTCCTTTATATTTTTATAGAGAATTTCATCGTGCATCTCATGCCAAAAAAAAATTATTCTCTTTAAGATTAAGTGTAAGAAAACTATTAGCATAATATTCAGGTGTTCATTATTTATAACTCACTCGTTAGTAATTACCAAATATTTTCCTTTGAATATTATGAACATGAGTTTTATGAAGAAATTAAATAATTTGCTATCAGATATTCGTTCAACTGTTTCTAATTGTACTCTAAAAGATTTGAGGATTGATAGCATTCAGAAATCAATAGAAGTATTATATTGTAAGCGTAAGATCGATAGAAAATTTAAAAATATTCTTCAATATAAATAAAAAATGCAAAGTTTGAACTATTGAATGACTAAGTTTATATATCTAAAAATATAACATTGATAATGATTCTGATGCATGAATAGAATCCTTTTTATCAGCATACACATTTTATAGATCAATACTTCACTTTTCACTTGAGTATGTCAAGCTGATGGGATCTTTTCTGTTATTTTGATATCGAACAAAAAAAAAAAAGAAACAAAATTATTTTCTTCGTTTTTATTTGAATTCATGAAGCGTTTCAAGATCGTTTTTAACTTTGTTTGCCTCTGATGAATTACATTTCTTTTTGCTGTATTTGTTATGTAAGCAAGTTAGTTATTCATGTACCACTTAATAACACTTTGCACCAATACAAGTACTAGAACTACGAAGCCAGAGAGACTAGGCGATTGATTAGATGAAGTATTGGAATTCAATAGTTTTTTTTCTAACAATTCAATTACTACATCTGGTTGACTTGTAATGAAACCATCCACCTTAACTGTGTGATAGAAAAAATCGATCAATTGTTCGAAATTTCCTTTGAAGGTGTCACGCCGAAATGTCCATGGATAAACAGCAAGATTATATTTATGAGCCAATAAAGTCAAATTTGTTACATTAATAATTGATTCATCTACGGCAAAATTAACCAATAATTCCATATTTGGTGCAATACCTTGAACAATGGTTGATAGATTTTGTAAGCCTTGTTCACTTCGATAGAAATCATAATCACTCGAAGATTCATTTAAACGATTCCATGTTAATAAAGCAATCAAACGTAATTTACTTCCCAGATTCTTGCGAATATAAATTAATTCTTCTATATGAAATGTTTGAATTACAATTGGATCGTCAAATTCAGTTAGATTATAAGCATTTAATGTTGAAAGTAGAATTGATGAAATAGATCTATTGTATTGTGTATGATATTCAGGATTTTTTATTTCAATAAGTAATTGATATTGCCGATTTGTAGAATGACTAAGACCAAATAATAACTCAACGGTTTCATTAAGTGTTGACAGATGAAATGGTACTGCTGACGACGCCGGAAAACGAGATGGATAAACTTGAATATTAATAAATGGTAAAGTACGCTCGTGAATAGTTAAACGAAGTAATTCATTAAGATCAAAATCGATAACATAATGATAACCATCTGAACGATTTCGATTCGGAAATATATCGTCAACATTACTTATTGCATTTAAATAAAGATCTTAAGAAAAATTTATAGAAAATTTATAAAAAAAATATTCAATTTTACCATGAGTGACAATTAATTGATTATCTCGACTAAGACAAACATCAATTTCAATCATATCAGCTTTTAAAGCATGTGCCATTGACTGTGATTCTAATGTAAGTTCAGGTAAATAGGCTGAACCACGATGACCAATTACTAATGGACGTGTAAGTCCTTGACAAATTTGAATAATGAGAATTATTATTAAATGAATTATAAGTATAAAAAATAACATCTTATTCATTTAATAAAATACGGAATGTGACTCTGACGATATTGTCGTTTGATTCTTAAAATAATTTATGAAGGTGTTTTTTTATGAAGGTTTTATGACACAGATAACAAGAATTTTACTGTCAAAAATCTTATCAAACACTTGAAGTAGAATGACTATACTCGATAAAAATTTATTGTCGATTTCAGATATTCAGTACTAAGAAGGGTTAACTTCGATCAGAAATATTGAATGAAAACAAAAAAAAAACAATTATTCGATGTATATGATACAATATTAATCAAAAGAACTAAATCCTTGTATTTAGGTGATTTATTTTGATAGGAATATTTTTAATATACCCCACACAACTATCAAATGGAAAAATAATCTTGATATGCGTTCTAGCAAAATTTTTATAACTTTTAAAAGAACATAATACGATCAAAAGACAGTGGAGAAAATTCAAATTATATTGTTTCCAATATTTTCGATAGCATCTAAATATGACAGACGTTCTAGAATAGTAAAACGCAGAAAATCAACGAATAAATTTTCGAAAAAATGTTCCAGTCACGTAAGACATGAATTTTTTTGTCAGCCTATGGTTATCCAAAGAGAACGTCATTTATTATTACGATAAAATATTGATCATTCTTGTAGGAAATATTAAACATTTATACCGAATTATGAAGTAGTTTTTGCATGTCACTGTGAGAAAATTTGACTATGCTGTGTTTGCTTTTATAATGGGAAGCATATGACACCTGTAATCTTTATTGGATTTAATCATTGGATTATTCTTCTCTTATCTTAGTACAGGCGTTATTTTATGTATATGAAAAGACATCGATATGAGAGACAGAAAAATGAAATATAACTTTAAATATTAATAAGAAAACAGTGTTGATGTATTGACTCATGAGTATTCGAAACTTATTGCCACACTTTGATCTCATCTCGAGAGCATAAAATCGAAAGTTCGTGACCAGTTGAAACGTTTTATAATATAGAATGCATTTAGATATGTCTGCTAAAAATGTTTAACTTATTTTTGTATATTACAAAAAATAAATGTTCGATTTTTCTCTTGTATAGATCAAATCTGTAATAACCGAATGACAATAATAATTCAATGAATGATTTTTAGCTTTTCCTAATCCTAATCCTAATCCTAATATCTCTTGTAAACAATTGTAGACCATTCGTATAATTGCCGTTTCATTTATGAGCGTGTTACAAATATAAATTATATACGATTCGAAAGAGGAGAAAAAGCTCTATCTATTGGTAAAAAACATTTCTTCTAGCACTCTTTTATCGAAAAGAAATAGAGCTCGACATTTGTTCCATTACTTTTTCATAACAGATTAGTTTCCAGTCCTTTCGATTGTTCGCTTAGGTAAATCAACCAATATTGTACTTAAAGCGAGAAAAGTTTTGAGATGAAAAGCTCTAATCTTGGTATATGTATTGTGACCCTTTTTGAATTTTTCTCAGAAAGCTCCTCAAACTATCTACAACTGTTACTATAAAATTCACTTCTGATTTATTCAAGTGGATAATTTTAAGTCATATGTCATTTTGTACATTGTTTATATGCTGTCACTTTTAATTGTTACATGCACATAAGTGTCGAAATCTAGTATCAAAATTATTCTTTTGCTCTATTTGATATAAGTACCATCAAGAAATTAAAAGCTCATTAATGTGTATGAGAAAGACAGAAATTCTGATAGTGTTACTTTTATCCTATGATTAGGCACATAGTCGATAAAGCTTCTTTTCTATTCCTGATGTCATCAAACTTTAGAATCTCCTTTCCCATGCTGACTTTATATGTGATCACTCGGCCTCATTAAAATAATACGACATATCAAATTAACCCTTTACCCCCCAGTGGGTCATATATGACTCATTTGTAGAACGATCACAGAAAATAAAGGAAGCATGAGACCGAAAAACTCCCAAGACATTATTTGTAGGGAACTTCACAAGCTATCGATTGGTAAAAAAATATATTGTTTCGTTACTCTGCCTTCGAGATATATGACTCACAAAATCAAAAATTTTGAAAAAAATGCAAAAATTCGAAATTTNCCAAAGTTGATTGAAAGCCGTACGGAAGTCCACAAAGAGTGCAGCAGCTGTCATGTTCTTTGATAGACTCTGTCCTGTTTGATCTAGAATGGCAACTAATCTAACAGCCATATTGTGACCGGGACGAAAACCACTTTGTTCGGGAGGTAGAAAACCTTGTTCATTAATCCATTTGCGAAAATGTATCAGAAAGCACTTTTCAAATAGTTTGGAGAAACATGATAACAACGATATGGGACTTGTTTCTTCAATAGAAATAACTTTGGATTTGGTTTTTGATAAAAGAATCATTTTGGCCACGTGTCAACGATAAGCAGTTTATAATGTTGATGCAAAGTTGTTGAAGGATGAGTGAATTATCGAAATATGGTTGGAAGGAAGCATTTTTATTAATTGATTAGATACTCCGTTCATACCAGTCGAATTTTTGTTCTTCAATGATCAAAATTGATCTGTGAAGATATTGATACGTGATGCTAATAGGAATCGATGGTTGATTTCTCAGAAGCTCTTCAATTTCATGATCCACCGAATCAGCTTCAATTTCAATTGGTGAACGTAAATTTGGATGAGCTGCAAATTGATCTTTATAATAATTTCTGGCCTCCTGACACATATTGAATGGCGAAGATACAATATTGTTGTTGTCTAGAAAACCTTCGATTAGTAGAGCTCTGCAGCTGAAGTGACGTTTTGCCTTTTTCCAAAATGTTTTTGTATCACAGTCGTATAATGAATTACAATAGCTCAACTACGACTTTCTTTTGTGGGTGAATAGCAGCTTGTGTATCATTTTTGTCATATCGCGTAAAAGAATAGCAAAATAAGGATGACGAGTTTGACAAAGGAATTTAAGACAATGACGTTTTCGCTCAATCAGAGTGACTAGATGTTAAGGTGAAGATGGTTTGACTGTTTTTCGGAAAGTGATGAAGGTAAGACGTGATATACATAACGAGAGAAAACGATCATACAGTGTGAAGGAGGTTGCTGAGTGAGACATTGAAGTGGCCAATGATTGCTAAAATAATGCCGCGAAGGTAAGGAAAGTTTCGAATAAGTTCCAACGGGTGCGTTTAATCGGGTAACGTTTATGAGTAGAGATTTTGGACGATAGGTACCATACAACAGGATGATGGTCGTTTCCTATAGTTGAGAGAACTGAGAAGAAGGTCGACGACATGTGTGTAGGTGCGATAATAATATCAATTGCTGCATTGGAATGAGTGGAGATAGGTATGAATTTGTTAATTACTTCCATGGATGAATGTATTTGTGATGAGACTAACCGATTGAATAAAGATCGTCCTTCTTGCATTTTCCATTGATCTTGGCCATGTGCTATGTTTGGCATTGAAGTAACCAGTAAAGATAGAATTTGGAGTATAATTGACGTATTCAATCGAAAATATCAAGAGGAATAGATTCAGTGGGTGAAAAACAACATGTGATCAATTGAAACATTTCCGTGTCCGATCCTACTTTCAGCACGATTAACTTATATATAAATTGTCAAATTTAGCTATTCGTTGAGAACGGATTGATTTGTGTACCGCAGTTAAAACACCACCAAACATATTCGATCCTCTCATAGAGAAGACGTTGAAATTGAAGAAGTGAGATGTAAACCGTTTAATAGCATTTTCATCATGATGAGTACCATTTAAGATACCAATTTGAGGTGAACTGGAATTAATTAAATTTATAACATCGACTAAATACCGGTTTAAACTAGAAACATTTAAAAGAAGAAGAGAAAAGTTCTGTTGTCTATTAATCATAGAAAGAGTTTTATCACGATGATTTGTCCAATTTTCAAGTAATATATCAAGTGTAGATGCACCAGCCATTCACGTAATAAATCTTGAAAGCTGTTTGCTTCATCTTTTGTTAATTGATCAGTTTGGATTGGATAAGATTTATTTTGATTAGGTTTAAAAATCCTCGCTGATGAATTCATTCGAAGAGGAATTTTGTATTGGGATATTAGATTGTTGATCATAAACAGTTGATTTAGCTGCTTCTTTAAAATCTTGTTTGAATTGAATAAGTAATGGACGCAATCTATCTTTTTCTACTTGTTTGTTCCTACCAAGAAGTGCATCACTAAGTTCGCAAACATATGGACAGACTTTTTTCAAGATAAATTCTTTTATGGAATTAATTTCTTTGTAACAGTGGTTAATAAGTCGATTATAGTTACTAACACTTGAATTTATCTTTGCTTGTTCAGTTGAAAGATGTTCAGTTTTGATCATCAGTAAGTGGAGTTTTTGAAATATCTAAAATAACACCTTGATCAATATTTCTTTGGATATTTTCATTTGGACTAAATGAACGAACAGGTGTATCATGTTTAAGTCCATTTGTTCGACACACGGAGACAGAAGCGTTTTCTTGTTCTGATTGGTTGATGATGGACGAGGTAATGCTAATTTGATATTTTCTTCCTCGATTTTTACTGGACAATTTGAATTATCAGTCATGCGGTCTTGATGACTTTTCACATAGCAAATTTTACTAATAAAATGTGGCTTGTACGGATGATTTTGACTACCACGAAAACAAGGTGGATTGTCCTTATGGGGACAATTTGTTGTAGTATGATCACTATATTGTTGACAATTAAAACATCGTGAAAATTTAAGTAGTGGAGAGTAGGGGTGAATAACGAACAACATGGTGTCATCATCTACTAGTAATCGTTTGCTCTTGACGATTTTGTTAACTTCTTGATTCGATGAGAAGTCACTACGTACTTTTCAAAATTGCCATGCCACCTTCAACGTAAAGACGTTCGACTTTGATAATTGTCGGGTATTGATTGCTAATGTCTGATTCAAATTTTGTTAGATCCCATTGTGCGGGAAGAACAAATGATACATTGGAATAGAAAGAAGGAACTTTCGATGGAAAACCGATGGAGAAGTCAACAGAACATATTTCCACCGGCTAAATCTTTCTATCCATTAAATAATCGAATTGTTCACCTGAGTTTGCATATAATAGGAAGCCTTTTTTACATCCTATAGTAGAATATCGACCACAAGAAAGACTGACGTGGCAATACTTATTAATGTCTTCAATAAATGACAACTCTGATGGCCTTTGATCGCCAACCAAAATCAGTCGAAATGGTGGAAACGACGGCCGGGAAGATGCCAGGTTGTTGATATTGGATGTGGTACAAGGTTCCAAGACCCTGGATCCTTGACATGAGTCACTAATGGACAGCTCATCAACAGAAATCAAACCGGAACATTTAAAAGAGATTGATAGAAGGTGATAACTCCGTTCAATTCGAAGACTGT